ACAAGCTACTAACAGCCAGCGGCGCGTCAGTAGTCGCTGTAGTCTGACATTCCAGTTCACGCACGCGGGTCTGCAACTTACGCACAGACACCATTGTGTCCGCAAGCACGTTGTTAAACACCCTCTGAGACCACACTTTACATTCCTCTTCAGAATACACGGCCTGCGAAGTTTGCGTCTCCACCTCACTGGTTGCTTTGAGGCCAGATCTGACTGAAGTCGGAACCAAGGACCTCTCATCTCCTTTTCCGAGTTGCAAAGCATCATACAGACACACCTTGCGAGACTTCCGAGGAATGCTGTCATTTGAAGGCAATAGGAGAAGAGCCTCCCAAAGCTGACAAGCCACAACTTCATACCTGTTTCGCTGAGCCCGTCTAGCACAGTACGCGATGCAACAAGCTAGCTTGCCCTCTTCCATGGCGGCTGTATCAGCAGGACACGGCCGAATTGGAAAAACATGCAAGTCTCGTAGCCAAAACACCCTTGAGCCGTAGGACTGTGACCCTAAACCCAAAACCCTAACCCCGAACCCTAAACCCCAAACCCTAAACCCCAAACCCTAAACCCCAAACCCTAAACCCTAAACCCCAAACCCTAAACCCAAACCCTGAACCCCCAAGGGTGCTGTGTGTTGCCAGGTCGCGGCTGCCAGCTGTGGCACCCAGTGCAGCAATCGTCAGCTCGCAGCCCCGCGCCGACTTCTCAGGAGCTAAAGCGCACCAGCGCGCCAAGACCTCATCATCTTGGTCCATATTATAATAAGGGCACCCTTGTTGGGTTGGTTATTTTATAGAGGAACCCATAACCAAAACAAAAAGGTAGAGCATTCAAAGATTCAACTGTCAATATGACGGTTGAGGGCTTTTTTCACGTTAATATAATAAACCCTGAGTGTGACCTGATCGCCATTCAAAAACTCAACTGTCAGGAAGAGGCTTGAAGCAATGTGACATAACATGAAGTTATTGCATAGTATGAACAAAATATGTCCACATCATGTGCAACCGTCCCAAGGCAGCAGTTACACGTGCATACACAGATTCAACACGATGAAGCCTGGGCGCTTTGTCGGCAACATGCCCTCTCGCCTTCCGCGTAGTGGAGGTCGGTTCAGCGTCCGATTTCACATCTGCTCCACCCAAGCCTGCAGGATTAATAGGGTTTGGGGTTTAGGGTTTAGGGTTCATTAGGGTTTAGGGTTTCGGGTTTCGGGCTTAGGGTTTAGGAGGTTTAGGAGCATGAAGCGGACACCTCTTAGACCTTCGAACCCTCAGGAAGTGTGAGCGAACCGGAAGAGGCATGAAGCACAGACCTTAGACCGTTAGACGTTTTTGCAGGAGGCTGGCGTGAATCCTCGCCTGGAACCCTAAACCCTAACCCTAAACCCTAAACCCTAAACCCTAAACCGTAAACCCTAAACCCGAAACCCTAAACCCTAAACCCTAAACCCAGGCCTTAAACAACGTTCAGGATTCTGTGCCCAGCCTGGCTCCGCAGAGACACTCTCCGGACCAGTATTCAATCTCTTCTGAGGCGAAACCTGCTCCTCTGGGTTTAGGGTTCAGGGTTTTTTTTTTTGCCACCCGCTTAGTTGGGTTTAGGGTTTAGGGTTTGGGTTTAGGGTTCAGGGTTCAGGGCTTTTTAGGGCTCAGGGTCTAGGGGGGTACGTTATTCGTCCTTTTTTAAGGGGATCCTACCATTTGGGGGTTTACGATGATATGGGGCTGTGACATGAGATTGAGCTGAAGTTGAAGGAAGCCGAAGCCGTTGCGGCATTCACGACCCCAGAAATGATGGGGTTTAGGGGTTAGGGGTTAGGGTTTAGGGTTTGGGGTTGAGGGTTTAGGGTTTAGGGTTTAGGGTTTAGGGTTGAGGGTTTAGGGTTTAGGGTTTAGGGTTTGATAGGGCGTAGATGCTGTGAAGGTTAGGCTGTGGAACAAGCTCGAAAGCTTCGTGAGGCGCGAAGAGCAGCTTTGGCCCGATTGTGCAGGGCCATCTAACACTTTCCTCCCACCCCACGCCGTCTAAGGTGGCAAAGCCACCCAAACCTATTCCTTGTAGGGTTTAGGCCTAAACTCAGACAACAGTCCACTTCAACTTCTTCCGTCCTGAATGTCAGGAGTTGTAAGAAAGTTTCTGGGTCCAAGCTGTCTGAATGGTCCGTTGTGCTTCAGGGAGATCGCAGGGGGGTCCCAGGCGGTCCCGATTGGCCCAGGGCCCGGTAATTACTTGAAGGCACCAATACTGGTCCCGAGGAGAACGTGTTCCGGTACCGGGCCCATCGTGGGTGCTACGGACCCCCATGCTGCGGGAGGCGGGCGAGCGACCTGGGTCGGCTTGCGCCATTGAGGTCGAAAGGCTTAAGCGCCGCCCCCGAACATAGGGCGGCCTAGACCCTGAGTTTAGGGTTTAGGGTTTTTGCGACCCGCACTGCTGCCAGCGACCAGCGTTTCGTCGCTCGGGCCTCTGTCCAGTCAGGCACTAGCAGGTGTTTTTTTCTGAAGCTAATAAACCTCAAGCCCTAAACCCTAAACCCTCAACCCTAAACCCTAAACCGCGCGGGCTTGGGGCTTAGTGGACAACGGCTCCTCCTCGCTTGCATCCAGGTCCAGTGCAGCGCAAGTGCGCAGTTGGCAGCGGAAGGCTTGGCGGAAAGCCATGCAGCCGATGCCATGTATGCAAGGAAGCTCCGCAATTTTGTCGCTCCAAAGCTTCGCTTCATAGGTTTGTGAACACATTCTGCAACGGATACACGTGTGACTATCCATCTAGAGGGACTGCCCGTGCTCCTGGCTCCGTGATTCCGTGACGTGTGCAGGCGCTGTGGTCAACGTGAGGTTCTTGCTCTGCTTCAAGCCGAGGTCTTCGAGTATGCATTGAGGCAATATCGGGCAACTTTGTCATTTTGAAGCGTTGGCGTCGCCCCTTTTATATATCCTAGAGTCTTGTGGGCCTGCACGCCCATCAACCGTTCTCAGTTGGAGCTTGCCAAAAGCACGCAAAAGGGATACACCGCAGAGCATATCCGGGTTCCAGGCAGCTCCTCGATTCGAGGGCAAGCTGCATTCCAGTCAAGCCTCGGGTGCAGGAACTTTGGCTGAGGCTTATACTCTTCACTATAAAACCTATGGTTATAACTTTGCAACATCATATTCTGTATGATTCTCTTATTCTATTAGCACATTGTACTGTGATATTGCTCTTTTTCGCCATGGATTTGTGATCTTGCTCTACTAGCCAGGGCTGGCTGCAAAGCAGACGGCGACGAGTGCAATCCGCTTCAGGTCCAAACTCGGAGGAAGGGCCAGTGTCTGCCGCCGTCCCATTGAGGACCCTGGAGACACCTGGCAGGCAAACTAGGACTTGAACCCCTACAAAAAACCCTACTGTAGTCCCTATATACCTAAGTAGCCCCTGAATGACCCCTAAGTAACCCTTAAGGTCCCTTGTAAGGGTCCCTCCTCTAGACTACCCCTACTAAACCTTAAAGCGTTCCAGAGCCCAGACCCGGAGACTCCAAAACCCCTTAATTAAGGAATATGCCTTAACTTCTAATACGAACCCTAATATGAAGGAATACTGATTTAAGGTATATTCCTGAATTAGGGGTTTTTTTGGAGTCTTTGGGGATATAATAGGAACCCTAATATGACTGAAGGTATATTGCCTAATTAAGGGGTTTTGGAGTCTCTTTAGGGTCCCTATTAAAAGTTAAGGTCTGGGGAGTTATGGGTCAGGGCGCAGCTCACAGCCTGGCCTGGCAAACGAGGCGAAACCTGCGGAGGAGCTGAGAATTGCCGGAGCTGCTGGTGCGTACCAGGTACCAGAGACGACTAGTTGCTTAAGAACGCCTTAAAAAAATAGAAACATTCTTCCTTATTTAGGGTATAATATAGGGATTGTTCTTTGTTTTTTTGGGGTTTTTAAGCAAATAATAGGAGAGCACCTACGGGCCAACTATATTAGCGCACCTTTGTTCTCCTCTGGCCACTGAACTTGGGACCGTCATCGGCCTCAGCTGCTTGCTGGCACCTCCGTCACTCAATGTCACTGACCGCCGAGCTCGTGGCGTCAGCCCTGGGCGTCCCTTCGCGTGACCTGCTCAGCAGCACAGGCGCAACAAATGTCGCTCGTGGCTCCTGGCCGGCCGAACCCTAAACCCTAAAGGCCCTAAAGGCCCTAAAGGCCCTAAAGGCCCTAAAGGCCCTAAACCCTAAACCCTAAACCCTAAAGGCCTGTACCCTAAACCCTAAGTTTCAAAGAGCCTTGCAGTGGCATTGACGTTCATGGAGGCTGAGGCGATGGAGGCGGCGATGTCCGCCCCAACGCGTTCTCTGAAGCTGTGCGTCAAGGCCTGGGGTGGCAAAACATGCCCTCTAATTCACTATAGGGTTTCGGGTTTAGGGTTTAGGGTCTAGGGTTTAGGGTTTAGGGTTTAGGGTTGAGGGTTTAAGGTTTAGGGTTTCGGGTTTAGGGTTTCGGGTTTAGGGTTTAGGGTTTAGGGTTCAGGGTTTAGGGTTTAGGGTTTAGGGTTACTGAACTTGGAACCCTAGCAAATTTAATTTCTTTGCTGTCTCTTAAGAATTCTAGTACCCAGGACTTATAGTACCCCTAAGATTCAGCAGCCCATGCCACTCAGCTCACTGCAATTCACTTCGCAGAAAATTCACTCCGCAACTCCCAATCTGCATACCTTTGGCCAGGCGCCGCGCTCCCGGACTCAGTGTCAAGTTGGCAGGCCTGTCGTGGTCGGCCCTTGCACTCATTGCACTCCTAATTCGATAGAAGACAAACTGAAATTCTGGGGGGACAGGGTCCGCTGAGACAACCAACTCCTGCAGCCTGTCGCAAAGCACACTGGATCAGCACAACACCAGGCGGCAAGGCAGGTCAGGAAGAAGCGCAGAGCGGCTTGCCTGCCATGCCCACAATAACGGCGACATGATGCATAAGAACCCCCCAAAAGCCTGTAAAATACGAATCCGGAAATTGCCATTCTAAGGAATAATATTCGGGGGCGGGGGAGAGGGGGTTCTTAAGCAAAGAGTAGATAAGATGCAGACTCTGCACATTGCCTGTTTGCTGTATGCTTCCCGTAGCTCGGCTGCCAATTCCTGTCCGGACAAGTATGTCTGCGATCCAGGGTCGGACCATTCACGTTTTTGGTGCAGTCTGAAGCAGCCATGGAAGCCAAATCCACACCTCTTTCGTCTGAAGCTCTTTCTGGAGTGCCTCGAAGGCCTGTCCCCAAGCAGCACCATGAGGGTGTTGCAAACTGCCGGGCACAACACCTAAAACCTAAACCCTAACCCCTAACCCCTTGGTGCTTTACGGAAACGGTCTGCGCAGCTCGGACAGCTCGCCTTTTCGACTTTGCCTTCGAGTAAGATCTTCTCTTCCAGCAAGGAAGTCTGCGCCTTCAGCTGACATTAATCATGTATTTTCTTCATTATTTATTTTTGTTATTAATCTTCTTAATATTGTTATTGTTCATATTACTTTATTAATATACTGAGTCTGCTATCACGCGAAGAAGCCGACCTGTTGGAGCTCGTAGGCTATGGCGCTTATCTCGGCCACCTGGCCAAAAGCCTGCCGCAGCTCGGTCGAGTGTAGCCCGAAGCATGAGGCTCATGAGGCGTGCCAGCCTGTTCTTTTTTCTCTTCCATGTTGCAGAGGCGCCAGAGCACGAAGACCTCAGAGGAAGGCAAAAGCGCACACAAGCCCGCAGGTCACCACCCCATCACACCAGCAGGACTCGTGATCTGCTGATGAACAAGTCGGCATTTGAATCATTCAGGTTGGGATGTCCCACCCCCATACTGACAGCCCGTAATATGGATTATAGCATTTAGCACTGTTACCATAAGGGGGAACCTCCCAACATTCAAACTTGGCTGCACTTAGGAGGCTAGCAAAAAAATTAAACTTTTAGCTGCCTTATTAAGAAACCCAAAAAAACCCCAATAAACCCAAAAAGGCTAAGGATCTAAAGCTACAGTAAAGCACCACCAAGCAAACTTCTCAGCGCAGGTCCAAGTTCAGCCTGGCACTGCAGTAGTCGTTGCCCCATCCGCACCCACCCCCGACGGGACTCACACCAGCGCAGCAATCCCAGAGACATATCAGGGTTCCTACTATAGGTTAAGGTATATTCCTTAAAACCCCTTAATTAAGGAATATACCTTAAATCATATTAAGGGTTCCTACTATAACTTAAGGTATATTGCTTGATTAAGGGGTTTTGGAGTCTCTGGGCAATTACCAACAGGGCATTGCAGCTACGGCCACAAAGCGAGGCGAGGGGAATGATAGGGCGGTTTCCGAGATTAGGGGTACCTTATTGGGGTCCTTATGATAAGGGAACCCCTACCATTTTGGGGTCTGTTTTTAAGGGTCCCAGTATTTTCGGAAACCCCCCCATCTCTCATGTCGCGGCCGTGCCCGCAACCCCGCTACCAAAGCGGGGCTTCTCGTCGGCCTCTGCATCTCCATGCTCTCATGGAGCTCCTGCACGTCACGGGACCCAGAGACTCCAAAATCCCTTAATTAAGGAATATACCTTAAATCATATTAGGGTTCCCATTTTAAGTTAAGGGATATTCCTTAATTAAGGGGTTTTGGAGTCTCTGGGGAGAACGCGGTCGCGGTCAATAGGGTTAAGGGAATTTAGGGAATATAGGGTTTAGGGTTTGTTTTTCCCCACCCGCTTCGCATGCGTCTACGGGGAAAAGGTCAGGTTGTACTAAAGCCAAAGTTCAGAGTTCGCTTGAAAGTGTTCAAAGAGACGTCGTTATCAGGGCACTGTTTCGAAGGTAAACCGAATTGCAAACATAAAATAGAGTCTAAGCAACAAGGGTTTAGGGTTTAGGTCTTAGGGTTTCAGGTTTAGGAAGCTGCTGATGGGGGGCCTTTGCGCTGGCTCTAGCCCGTAGCACGCCAAGGTGGCCGCGCCATCCTCGGGAATCACACCACGAATCACAGGACGTCGCAGATGTCACACGAAGTAAGCTCGGCACAATCATGCGGCATTGGACTAAGGCCATCACCATGGAGGCAAAGTCGCAGAGTCGCGAGGAGGAGCTTCTCCTCGACTGAAATCTAGAGCTGCGCCCCGTGCTTTTCTGTGCATTTTTTCAAGGGGGCCCAACGACTGCTCGTGGTCTTTCAAGAACGCACGACACCCCAAACGGCCCTTGGTAGCATGTTGGGGCATCTTATTGCTGAAGGCTGGGCGCTTGTTCTGCTCAACTTATAGCCCGCAGGTCTGCGGAGACATGCCGCGCGCAGCATCTTCAAACAAGCAACACTCCTCCAGCGTTCCGGCCTTGGACTTTGCAGTCTACAAAAGGGCTCTACCATGTTTCCAAAGCTGCCCCCTGTGCTCAAGAGTGCTGCACGTTGCCTCTAGGTCTACCCAGGACCTCTGGGAGGATCCACAAGGTAGATCCCCTTAATAACTTTAAGGGTTCCTAAAGAATGACCCAAGAGCAGTATACGGCACGATTTGTGGGCTCTATTTTTGGATCATCCCAGGGGTCTTAGTCTAAGTGCAGGACGCCACGGACTTTGCGGCCGTTGGAAGCTGACACCTGACCGAAGTCTTGCGGCAGAATCTGTCCGACTGGAGCTTTAAACTGTCGGCTACATTGAAGCTTTCGTCCCTTGATAAATGATGACCCGCCATGCCTCGGCATACTTGTGCCAGTCCTTCACAACGGTGGCCTGGACTTGGGGATCAATTCACGCTCGCTCTTGCAACGACTTACTGAGGGCTGACACAGGGCCACTTCTTTCATTTAGGGTTCCCGTTTGGGGTTCCCATGATGTAAGGGTACCAAAGCATTGACGCGAATTTTGAGAACACTCCAAACCCTAAACCCGAGACCCTAAACCCTAAACCCCCGAAACCCTAAACCTCACAATTTTGAGAACTGACCCACGTGATTGGCACTGAGTCTTACTGAGCCCGGGTCCATGAGACCCTTCCTCTGCCCTTTCTCCCACTGGGACAGTGTCAGCTCAACCACCTCACATCACCGGCTTTCCAACAGGGACTTGCAATGACTTAACGTATATGAGACTGTTAACCCTTATCTTAATGAATGATTATACAGTTCTATGATGTTAGTGTAATACTGTGCTACATTGTTATTCGGACATATTCTAATATTGAAACATGTGTTTTGCACTTGCAATTCCGAAGGCTTCCAGGAGCCAGGACCCACTCCAAGGCAGGAACAGCGTGCGCCCGCTGATGCTTGAGCTCCCGCTTCGACTCCAGCGCCAGGCGCCTCACTAGAGTGCAGGAGGGCAGGCGGGCATGCTCCATTTTTTACATTCTTATTCTTATTCTTATTCTCATGATTGGCATTATTATTGCTACTATTATTATTCTTACTATTATTATGATTATTAGCATGATTATTTTTCGTATCATTATAGAATTGCTTTTTTGTAGTAATGTACTACTATGTCATTATACTATTTTGCGAGCATATCATTAGATTAGTATACTATGCTATAATTGTAGTACTATATTGATATACTAGCATATTATTTACGTAATATGATATTTTACATGATGTGCAAGCTCCTGGGGGTCCGAAAGGGGAAGCTGTAGTGGTTGATGTTGGCACGGAGCATTTTCAGGAGCAGATAGCGCGTGCGCTCTGTCTTTTTCGGCGGGCGCTTCGGCTGGACATCGCGTTCGTCAGCCCTATATGGGGGTTTCCGAAACCTAGGGGGATCCCAAATATAGACCCCCAAATCGTCAGATTCCCTTGCAATTAGGCCTTACAATAAGGACCCCCAAAAAGGTATCTATCCCTAATTTCGGAAACCACATAACCCACAAATAGTAAGTTTCGTTTGGATAAGGACCCCAAAAAGGTACCCCTAGTTTCGGAAACCACCTTTTCGTGTCAAACCCTAAGCCCTAAACCCTAAACTCTAAAACCTAAACCCTTAATTTCGGAAACCACCTAATGAGTGTCAACTCCTGTGCTAGCCTCGCAAACGTGAGGCTCCCATTGAGGCCCAGAGGGGCCCTCTGGGATCCCCCTAAACCCTAAACCCTAAACCCTAAACCCTAAACCTTTTCAAGAAACTGCCGGGAACTGTGGAGGCTGCCACATTCGGATCTGCCATAGGGTACATTCGCGTGCCTCCCTGGAACTCGCGCCGGATCGGCCGAAACTGACCCTGCTGCGGCCACTCGAAACGAAGCTCATGCCCAGGTTTGACTTAGTTTGGTGCGTTTTCTTGGCCACGGATTCATGGATGTCCTTTCTAAGTGCAAAATTTGCCACAAAGACTCACTGCTAGTTCACGCGTGGCCGAAGCAAACCTGGGCGGGCTTGTCTCAAATGGTTCTAGCCTCACAGCAACCCCCACCTCCTGTACTGGCAGTTGAAGGTGGGAGGCTTGGAGGTCTTGCGACCGGCCCTCGTCCAACACGCGTCTCCTTTTTGGAGCACTCGGTGCTGTCGCACACGCCCCCCGGTCTCTGCACGCGCAAAGCAAGGCTTTGGGCTTAGGATTGGACATGGTTGGACAGTGCAGTATGAAGAGTGCCTATGGCCTGTGCAGAAGACACATGGGGGCAAAAGGAGAGGCGGCCAGCACACCTCTGTCAGATGGCTTCTGCCTCAAACCTTTTTCCGCCTCAGCGGGCAGCCCTCCGCGTGCTCCACAATGTACCTGAAAGTGGCGTTGATGCGAGGCTGGCGTGTGGTCCCCTTTTGGATCTGGTGCAGGTAGTGCTTCTGGAAGAGTCCTGGACGGCAGACGCCGATCACAAGGTGGGTGATTTGAGCCTAGAACGCACAACTCCCTAGCTGCCTAGGCCATCCAGAACCCCAAACCCTAAACCTTCTGGGCCTTCCATTGTGCAGATCTGGCCATGGCCCAAGTTGAAATTCGCCACGCTGCCCCTCTCGGGCTTCAAGATTCCACCTGGCCAAGACTTTTCTCAAAGCTGCGAAGTAGAGCACGATCCCAGACCCCTCGGAGGATCCAGAAAGTAGATCCCCTTAAGGGTTCCTAAAAATGACCAAATAGTAGAATAGGGTACTATTTAGGGGGTTCTACTTTTTGGCTCCTCCCAGGGGTCTGGGATCATGTAGTGATCAGGTACAGGTCCTCATGTCCCTGCTAGTCTTACCCAACCCGGCGACCCTGCGATGTACAAAAAATATGTATATCTGACTATATGTGTATATATATGTATATATACATATACACGTATATATATATATATATACACGTATATATATATATATATATATATATATCTATCTATCTATCTATCTATCTATCTATCTATCTGTGTGTGTGTATGCCATATATACAAAACTCGAGCCCTCGGTTCCGGTCGCCTCTTCTGGGCGCCTTGAGCCCCACCTGGAACTTGCGGCTTGCGCCGAGGGTGACTGAGATGATCCTGGCGTCCTCCCGACACACATCCGCATAAATGTTTTGGTGTATGTATATATATATATATGTATAATATATATATATATGCATATGTATATGTATATGTATATGTATATGTATATGTATTATGAAGGTCCCCAAGCTCAAACTTCAAAAAACCCTGAACCCATGTTTTAAGCACGGACTAGCCCTAAAGCCTAAACTTGAAACCCTGGACCCAAATGGTGGGTCATCATTTCGATGTCATGGTGCAGTCGGAAACGCGCTGAGTCCTGGAACTTTCCCCGGAACAGGGGCTCGTCATCAGAGTGCCACGCAACCTTTCGCTTAGGGTTTAGGGTTTAGGGTTTAGGGAGTTTAGGGTTTGGGGTTTGGGGTTTCGGGTTTAGGGACAGACTGCACTCAATCGGACCTGATGCTCACCGGTCTCGTAAAGGTTCAAGTTCACACAGTCTGGAAACATCGCATCCTTGTCCTGCACTGGCAACACTGGCTGGTTCTTCGTAGGGAATGAGGGAATGAGGTACGCTATATACTCCCTTAATAAATATATCGCCCTAGTTCCCTCATTCCCTACTAAGAACAAGGGGTGAAAAGGGGCGGTGTCACTTTACTGTTGCCTGAATCAGCCGATCGTCCTCGCCATTCAAGTTGAGGCAGCCAAGCCAACGCTTGGCCATGACCAGGAACCAATCGGGAAAAGTCATGGCGTTGACTTGATGCTGCTTGCCGTAGTTGTACGGGCACCTGCCGCGAGTCGCTGTGCCCTCTGGTGAGGCGCAAGAATGCTAAAATTTAGAATGCGCAGGAAAAGACACCACAATCCTCCTGCCATAACCTGCCGTCTGCGCCCAGCACCCACAACTCTCAAAGACTCAAAGACTCAAGCCGGCTCTGCCTGCAGCCTTCTCCCACCAGCCACATTGTCTTGCGGGTCATTGCGGATGCCCCGTGGATCTCCAACCAGTCGACTTTCGATTTCAAATCCAAGAAATCTTGCTGGGTGACACTCTTCTCCTGGCACATGTACATCCTTGGCTGTTTGTGCGGCTCACGGCTTCCACTCTACGCTTCCAACATCTTCCAACTTCCAACTGTCCGCGCAACTGGCTAGCTACTGGGACGACAAACGAGCAGAAGCTTCAACGTTCCAGCCCAAGAATCCAGGCACGATTATGCACATCCTCAATGCAAGGTATCCAGCTCCTTGGGCGCAGGCAACCGGCAACCCCGCTCACCGATGTGTGCTCTGGGCACGTAGCTCGTGGCTATAGGTCAGCGGCACTTGTGTGCTTCTGCGGTCTTCACGTTCTACTGTGGACGATATGTGCCAACGACCAACCTCATTCCCTGAAAGCACGAGGCTGCTTCAGCACTAGCCCTAAACCCTAAACCCTAAACCCTAAACCGCTAGCATCCGCTAGCGCAATCCCTTCATATCAAATCAGGGTCTTCGGATTCGATGCCCTCTCCACGAGCAGTTTCAAGGGCTTCTCCTCGCGCGTGGCCTTGAGACTGGTAAGGGCAGCAGATGCTGGAGAGAGGCGTAGGATGACAATGGCGAATTGGGTCTTTCAACGATCTCTGACACGCGGGTGTGCCTTAAAATTCATCATCATCAGTCTTGATGAACGGAAACATAGCCCTGAACCTTCAATCCTGGACCGGGTGCAAAAAATTCTTGTAACGATAATCGAAGCAACCCGATGATACCCAAAACCCTGATCCCTCTAAACCCCATACCCTTAACCCCAAAATCCTAAACCCTAAACCCTCATCCCCGCCTCCGGGTTGGCCTCTCGTTTGGCCTTCGCCTCTGCCTCCTTGATGTCGGACAGCTCCCTCGGAGTCAGATCAGAGCCATCCTCCCTCACCTCATTCGTCGGACATGACTCTTCGTCTCAAGCCCCCCTACTTGGAGGTTCATGGTACTTATTCACCAATGATATCTGTACTCATTACCCCACTTATAAGGGCCCCTTAAGGCCCCTTATGTGGCTATAAGTACACTTACAAGTACAGTTCTCATTGGCTAATAAGTACCATGAACCTCCGGGCTGATCGTGCAGGCCAGGAACCGGAACAGGCTTCTTCTCCTGCGCCTTTGCTTTTGGCTTGGCCTTGGCCTTCCTCTCAGGCCTTTTGAGCATCCGGCGTAGTCCTGGAGGGCAACAAACAGAAGCCCCCAAGATCAACAGCGCGCGCAACAGCAGCTCTCATCCCTTCCCCTCAAATATGAAACCCCGCCCCCCACCCCCTGATATTCAATACCCCCCCAGGTGTAATTGGTTATATTACATTATATACTTATTATATGGGGGGGGTATCCCTAAACCCTAAACCCTAAACCCTAAACCCTAAACCCTAAACCCTAAACCCTAAACCCTAAACCCTAAACCATTCAATATTCGGAGGGTAGGGGACCCTGAGTGCAACTCTGGCATGTCGAGGCGCTCAGCGGCGAGCGCAGGCGGCCGGGGGAGCGGCTCCTCCGCGGCAGCGCGCCGTAGCCTCGCTCATGGTGGGGAGAAGATGAAAAAATGTAGGTTTCTATTCCTTGCTGGGTTTTAAGTACCCTTCAAAAAAGGAAAAAAATCTATTCCTTGGGTTTAAGTACCCTTAGAATCTCAGAAAAGGAGAATGGCACCCAACTATGACAAAGTAGCCCGGCTGCGGTGTCTGGTAGTGGGGCGGCGGGGGGTAGTAGCCAGGAGGCGGGGCTCCATAAGCAGCTGGTGGTGGCGGATAATGAGGCGCATATCCTGGCGGAGGATATGCCGCTGGCGGGGGGCTCTGCGGCGGAGGGTATCCAGGTGGGGGCTGGCCGTAGTGCGGAGGAGGTGGCGCATACTCTGGAGTGGGTGGTGGGTATGCGGCAGGCGGCGGGGAGCTATACCCATGCGCCGGGGGATAAGCACTGGGCGGAGCACCGGGGGGGGGAGCGCCGGGTGGAGGAGCACTCGGCGCATATGGGTCGCGGTATGGATCCCTGTAAGGATCCCGGTACGGATCTCGGTCCCGATCCCTGTAGGGGTCTTGGTATGGATCACGATAAGGATCTCGATAGGGATCACGATATGGATCCCGAGCCGGAGGCGGCGCCCCGTACGGGTCAGGCGGCGCGCCATACTGCGGGGGCACGCTGGGGGGTGGCCCTGCCTGAGGTGGTGGGTATTCTGGGGGCGGATAGTGTGGCACAGGCTGGCTGTACCCAGGCGGTGCCTGTGGCGGAGGCCCTGCATTCACATGAGCGGGGTAGCCCGGTGGAGCCGCGTAAACTGGAGGAGGCTGATAGCCATGATGGTACCTGCCCCGGCGAAACGAAGCCGCAGCAGCTCATTGCACGTATGCTTGCACGTCTTGGAGGTTGAAATCAACCAAAGCAAGCCACTCAGTTCGCGAAAGCTCCAGCAGCCCTATACCCTCATCCGTTCATTCCCTGAACCCTAAACCCCTCACCCTAAACCCAAAACCATAAAACCTAAAAACCCTAAACCCTCCCCAAGATGTGCTTACACTGTCAGCAGGCGCAGTTGCACAACAAGGACTTGGCCCTGGCCTCCCTCGGCTTCTGCTCCGGCTCCTCCGGTGTGCGCAGCATGCAGATTTCATCGAAGTGAAGGTAAGGGTTTAGGGTTTAGGGTTTTTTCCCCTCCTGCACAGCTGGGCGAATCCGCATCGCAGGGCGATCTCTCGGTCCGAGGTGGCTATACTTCGGGGAACTCCATCCATGCCCCCCCCTGTTCGCGCTCGGCCAGCTGTTCTTCTTCCACCCCCAACCAAACCAAACAGCAAAAACAAAGGGTTTAGGGTTTAGGGTTGAGGGTTGAGGGTTGAGGGTTGAGGGTTGAGGGTTGAGGGTTGAGGGTTACAGCCCTTCCTTCCCGCGTATGGTTTTTTAGGGCTTGGCAGCACTAGCTCCTCGCTCGACTTGCTTGGTATGGCGGAGGGTAGGCATGCATGGCTCAATGTGGCCACCACGCGACTCCGCACATCCAGAGTGACACTGCTGAGTGAAAGCTATGTCAGCGGAAGCTTCAACAAGCTCCATCGAATTTGCTTCAGCTCTACACACACATGTGTCTAGGCCAAGGGGGATAGCCATGTTTGTGTGCTGACTACTCGCTGCTGCTGCTGCTGCTGCTGCTGCTGGAGGGACCTTGAGTTTGCAACGCGACGAGGCAAATCTGGCGAAGAGCCCTTGCACATGCAAAGCCGGCGAACTGCCTGCGGCCGGCGAGTAACGGCTCGAATGCCTACAGCCGGTCTGATTTTCGCTTGGTTTCGCCACGCAGCGATGCCCATCCAGGTCTTCGGAATCCGCCAGGTGCTGGATTTGAAAGTGCTAAGCCTCAAAAAGACCTGGCAGTCTAGCAGCACCAACATCGCTGCCACCAGGTTCTTGGCACAAGCAGCTTCATGAAGCGAGCTCTGCCCAGAACTAGTGTCTTCAGAGTCTGCTCGACTCCAAGCAAGGTGAGGCCATTGAGGCCGCTAGGCACTCAACTGGAAGCAGCCCAGCTGGCTTCAGCTGTAAACCCACCATGGTCTACAACCAACCACTACTCCACAACCAATGGCGAGGACGCATGGTCTAGCTTGGCCTTTTTCTGGGCTGCCTGCTTGCCTACCTCGCGTGAGCCACAGGTCTTGGCCCACCACTGCCTCAGAGTCGCAGACCCTCAACGGCCTTCAATCCTAAGCCTGCTGCCAAAAAAACAGCAACCCATAGCAAGGCTCGTGGTGTTCTTTGTGGTGTCGGCGTGTCGGCGTCGGTTTAGAGCTTAGATAATCTATAATACAAAATACAAAATGTGCAATATAATTACAAAAGCCGTCCAGTAGGTATGCTTTAATATATTCTGTACTGTATATATTATGTATGATATATATATATATATATATATATATATTTATATTTATTTATTTATATTATACATGATTACTTCACGCATTTTTAATGATATATCCACATATATGTATATATGTATATTATGAAAGTTGCCACCAAGCCATGGAGCTCCAAGAGACGCTCGCAGCGCACCCAGAGGGTGCTCCTCCCGCCTCGATGGAGAGGTTTGGGGTTTGGGGTTTAGGGTTTAGGGTTTAGGGTTTGGGGTTTGGGGTTTGGGGTTTGGGGTTTGGGGTTTGGGGTTTAGGGTTTGGGTTGAGGCTTGAGGGCTTTTTTCTAAATTAGGGTTTTGTTTGGGGTCCCCTACATGGTCACTTCTCTAGCACATGATGCTGGTGCACGGATCACATAGTACGGCACCCGTAAATAAGGACCCAAAAGGGACCCTAATTAGAGATATTTCGAGAACTACCCGATCCTTTCAGGATGCCCATGACATCCCACATGAGCGTCCCAGGAAGACCAAACCAACCTGAAGCGCCCAAGCGGGTGATTCCCAAAGATTAGTCTTTGAACGTGCATGAGAAAGATTAAAGCCGCTGGGGATTTATGGGGCCAAGGGATGTTAAGGGGCCTTTTGAACGCAGACTCCTTAAGTCAGCTGGGAAAGGCCTTCGACAAACTTTCTTTCCTAGGCAAACGCAGAAATGCACATACAATGTTAAGGGGCCTATGTGCTAATGCCCTGAATCTGTCGAGGGTCGCCCAAGCGTTGGCCGCGATTGCCTCCTGGACTGTTTGTAGGATGGCAACCGTTCATGAGGCAACTAAGCCATGGTTGGGATAGCATCAACATTTTAATTTTCTATTCCTTATTGAGTTTAAGTACCCTTAAAGATGTAAACTGTTACCCCACTAGGACCAAGATAACAATACAAGTCGGGCTTAGCGCTCGGGACTCGGGGCAGGGGAGAGGCAACGTGTCGAGACAAGGCATGACACAACTCAGTGGCACAAGCGGCTGGAGCTTGTGCTGATTGATGCTTGGATCCCACAGCCATGGTGATCTCCATACCCTCATCACATATATTCAAGGCATCCCCAAGACCTGCACATACGTACTTTGAACGCATGAATCCTCGGGGGGGGCATGGGCGTTCCGTCTCATTCCGATTCCAGATTGCTTCTGGAGTTTGTTAGGAGCCTTGCCCCATCAGCTCAGTCTCATGAAACCTGCGTCGGCCAAACGAGATTCCTCGATGCAGGAAGCTCTGCGTGTCGGGCACCTGGGGCTTTGGGGAGAGGGAGGGGGAGGGAGAGAGAGGGAGAGAGGGGGGAGAGTTTGAGAGAACACATCCCAAAATACACCCAGAGACTCCAAAACCCCTTGATTGAGGAATATACCTTCAATCATATTAGGGTTCCTATTATAAGTTAAGGTATATTCCTAAATTAAGGGGTTTTGGAGTCTCTGGGCAAGGAAGGATGCGCCGGTGCTTGCTGACGAGGGCCCGACGCCAGCGCTGCTCGGCCTGTAAGCGCCGAGGCCTTTGCTTGGCCTGAGGACATGCCCAGAGACTCCAAAACCCCTTAATTAAGGAATATACCTTAACTTATAAGAGGAACCCTATTATGATTTAAGGTATATTCCTTAATTAAGGGGTTTTGGAGTCTCTGGGTGAGTCTTATTGCTTTTTTGCTACTCTTGGTACGAATGTGCGCATTACTACTCTTAGTATTCTGAGCATTTATGGTGCTGATTATGACGATTATGGTGCCGATCGAGAATTCGTCGGCCTCCAAACAGTCCAGTCGGCGAGCCACCCGCTCCCGAGAATGGCCTCCAACGTTGCACGTGGTTAGCGAGAGCCCTGCTAGGAGGTTCATGGGTCCTTGTAAGTCTTATGCCCCAATTATATGTCTACGTTTTACCTGCTTAGAGGACCTAGTGGGCTTATAAGTACAGTTATGACTGGGGTTATAAGTACCCATGAACCTCCAAGTGCTCTAATTTTTAAGTCCCATGCTTGAAGCGTCTGCTTCATCATCCTCGTCATCATCGGCCTGCTTGTTCCCAGATGTCCAGGTACACCACACGGAGGCGCTGCCAAGCCTCGCTCAACTCGCCTGAGGGGAGTTTAGGGTTTAGGGGTTTCGGGGCTTAGGGTTTAGGGTTTAGGGTTTAGGGGGAGTGCTTCGCTGCGCTTCGCAAGCTGTTGGAGACTGCGGGAGAGGACTACGTGCCACAACTATTTGTGTCAGGAGTCTAAGGGGCAAAGCGGTGTTTGCCTTCGTGGCATGTGTATCTCTTGAGATCTAATGATTCACTCCAGCATGCTTTCGGAAGAGTGTAGGGGTCGGGAAAGCCGATCATTCCAGAAATTTGCAACCGGCACCCTGTTGCCTGGGCTGTGCTTCATGAGCAGAGAGAGCTCATTGCAAGCCCCCTCAAAGACCGCCATGCGAGCCTGACACCAACAGACCCAAGAGCAGCCCTTCTGATGCATGCAACATTCGGCATGGACTGCCCAGCAACTCTCCCCAAGTCTCCCCAACAAAGGCTGCCAAGAGCAACTCTTCTGCAAGACATATATGACATACGATTTATTGTTGTTATTTTCATTCTCAGTTTGATTTTTGTTGTTCTTACTGTTATTCTTGTTCTTGTTATTATTATTTGTTATTGTTATTGTTACGATTGTTGCTATTATTATTGCTACGATCACTACCATTATATATATATATATACATGTTCATATACATGTTCATATACATCTTCATATACATTTTCATAGACATATATATACATATATATATATATATATATATATATTCAAGAGGGGCCACATTATTTGCATCCCCTCCAACCTCTCGGAGGCGTCGATACGCCATGAGGCCCCGCTCAAGATCGGCGCCCGAGGCAGCGAAGCGGGGTGTTTCAAGGGTCCGCCCAACCTGAGCACCAAACTAAGATCATCGTATGATCATACAACCATTTGAAAAAAGTTATTTCAAACATATGTGCACATACATATATATATATGTATGTATGTATATGTGCGTATATATATATATATATATATATATTCAGATTCAAAAAAAACACATTGTAATTCGCAGGTCTCGGAGGGCAGTTTATACGTCAAACGCCGCCCGTGTCGCAAAAGGCCTTCGGCCAATGCTAGCTTGGCCAAGCTGCCCAGTATCGTGCGCCAACGTGCGCAACGAAGGCCAGGCTGAGATCCTGCGACAAATTTTTCATCTGTAGCCTGATGATGCCTGATCCCCAAACTGTCTAATCCCTAAACCCTATACCCTAAACCCCAAACCCTAAGCCCTGTACCCTAAACCCTATACCCTAAACCCCCAAACCCTAAGCCCTGTACCCTAAACCCTATGCCCAACCGTGGACGCGGGGGCCTCCCTCGCTCTTAGGCCAGTGTGCCGCAGCTCTTCGGCGATGGCTTCTCGAAAGCGCACCTGAGGACCAAGCCAGGCTGCTGAGCACCATCATCCCTTCCCCCTGACTTTCAAACCCCCCCCCCCCCTCCTAGCCCCTTATACGAAAAACTTATACTAGGTCCTAGCCCCTTATACTAAAAACTTATATTAGGGGGTAATTAGGGGGTAATTTAGGGGGCGGTGTAATACTAGGCGGAGGGGATTACATCGGAGATCACTTTGAGCTTGCTTCGAACCTCCTCGGCGGCATCGGACTGGAGAACCCTCTGTCGGATTCCATTCAGGACCTTTCGAAAGCGCGCGAAGAGGGCGAAGCGATAAAGTCATGCTCTTGGGCACGCTTTCCGGATTCCTGCCTGCGCATACTGCTCCGCAACTTCCCGGCTTCTTGTCCACTTCGTGCTCAAGCAAAAAGGCCCAGCTCTACAGAGAACCTCATAGCTGATGTGGCCTGACGCAGATACTGGGGGGAGGGCTCGAATATTGGGGCACCCACGCTTGGCTCATCCCGAACACCTGCAAACTTGCGCTTGCAGACTCCTTGCTTCCTCTTCTGGCCGCGGACCTGCGGCACGATTCTGAAGGCGGCATCATATTAACGCTCTCCTCTGGTGCCCCAACGCTATGTATCAGAAATCCCACCTGCACCAAGCTTGCCTTTAGCAGCTTCCTCGTGTCGAGCTTTCTTGGCTTTGGGCACTGTGGGCAGGCGGCCACTTGCTGCACGGACAAAGCTGACAAACACCATGCCCGGCAATCGGGGCATGGCTCACAGCTTCGACCTGCACCGAGCGATACCACCAACTAACAGGGGGGTGCAGCAAGCAACGAAGTCTACTTGGAGGTTCATTGTACTTCGTAACCCAACTACAACCCAATCAGGCCCCCAATTCGGGTACTTAAGGGGCTTATGTGTGGGTCATAAGGATTTTAGGGTTTAGGGTTTAGGGTTTAGGGTTTAGGGTTTAGGGTTTAGGAACTTGCGGCTGATGCAGAGATCGCAGGCCTTGTCGAGCTGATGGCAGCCGGTCGCATCTCATGCCAGGATCTGCTCCCTGCGAGGCCGCCACTCTTGAGAGCTCAGTGAGGATCTGCTCCCGGAAAGGGTGAAAACTATCTACATTCCGTGGAAGAACCCGAAGAACCCCCCGTTTTCCCCCTCTTCAGTCTGTTGATCTCCTTAATTCCAAAAGCCCCCTCTTTTTTGCGACTCCGACTCATTGCAGAAAGCAGACAAACATCTCTGTGCAAGACGGGCGTTCCAGTCCTCATCGCATGCAGCGACTGAGAAGCCTTGCCTCGAGCCAGCGGGGTCATTTCACACATGTTCACACACCCGTGGCCCAGAAGACATGCCTTCTATCCCCAAATGCGAATCTTGGTAGCCCAGTAACCGTACTGTCATCCGGGCACCCTTTTGGGGTTGGCTACTGTATAAGGGGAACCCAGCGCCAAATAAAAGTAAAGGGCACCACTGCGCTACCAAGGAACGCTTGCAGCATGATCGGGGTTCTGCTTTGGAGCCCGACATGGGGGGTTGCGAAAATAAGGGGGCCCCTAATATAAACAACCCCCGAATAGTAGGATTCCCTGATAAAGGACCCGATATGGTAGCCCTCATTTCGGAAACCCCCCAAATCAGAATGTTTGTAGAATGAACAGTCTAAGGTTGGAACCATGGGCCCTGAGTATGGTTGTTTAAAGGGAATTCAAGGGACCCGAAGTACGGGCCCTCATGATGTCTCGTGTATATGAGAGCTACATATAGCAGGGGACCCAAATTAAGGCCCCAATACTTCGAATCCCCTAAACACTTTCTGTTGGTTAGCAGGGAATGGGGGAATGAGGTACCCTATATCATCCCTCACAAGGTACAGACAGGGCCCTAATTCCCCCATTCCCACCCTAAACCCTAAACCCTAAACCCTAAACCCTAAACCCTAAACAGGGTTCTGCCATGACTCCAGCTCTTCCGCTGGATTTCGCACTGCTTGGCCAGAAGGCGCTGCTCGAGCCTCTGGCGCTGTGCCTGCAGGGTCTCACAGGGTCACCCCATTCGGGTTTAGGGTTCAGGGTTCAGGGTTCAGGGTTCAGGGTTCAGGGTTCAGGGTTCAGGGTTCAGGGTTCAGGGTTCAGGGTTCAGGGTTCAGGGTTCCGGGTTTAGGGTTTAGGGTTTAGGGTTTAGGGTTTAGGGTTTAGGGTTTAGGGTTTAGGGTGTAGGGTTCAGGGAACATGCTCCAAGAGACCTGATGCAGGTGGTGGCGAAGGCAGGGCCTTTAGCATCATGTCGCGCACAGTGCCTAAACCCTTTTTAAGCATGGACTGAGGCTGCCTAAACCCTAAACCCTAAACCCTAAACCCTAGACCCGGATGCGACGAGTGCCTGCGTCAACTTGGAGAGCATCTGCCGTCGCTGCTCGCTCCCCAGGCGACTTAAGAGACCCCGAAGCCTCGCCAGAGCCAGCTTCGGATTTCAGGTTTAGGGTTTAGGGTTTGGGGTTTGGGGTTTGGGGTTTGGGGTTTGGGGTTTGGGGTTTGGGGTTTGGGGTTTGGGGTTTGGGGTTTGGGGTTTGGGGTTTGGGGGTCTCTTCCTGGAACTTCCTGGAAGCCTGCACAACAACATGCGATGACATGCGGTCCATCAGTCCTCTCTTCCAAGCTTCGTCCGGTCAGTCGCAGGTGCTGTGGGATCTTGGCAGAAACTTGAATTCTTGGTAGCCCAGGGGTACCCTTTACCTATTTTTGGTTCTGGCTTCCCTTATAAAATAACCAACCCCAAAAAGGGTGTTTTTGAGGGGGGTCTTCTTGCTGGAAGAGACGTCAGTACAGCAAGTGCATGCATCGCAGCAGCTCAGCAAGGCAGCGATGGGCTGGGGCCGAAGCATTTTTATTGCGGCGGCTCACATGCTGGTGGCCTCGACCAGCCACAAAAAATAGAACACACAGAAACATATAGTGTCCAACGTAAGCACGTCACTTCGCTGACGCCACGTCGTTGACTTCACGATAAGCCAGCCAGGCGTCGATTCGCCGATGGCGTCTGTGGCTGCGCACTTGCCATCTCGAACAGGTCCAGCAGGTCGAAGCAGCGCCCCAAGATGCCGCATTAGACAACGACTGAAACACCAACCTGGCATCTCGCATAGCTCTTTTAGGGTTTAGGGTTTAGGGTTTAGGGTTTAGGGTTTAGGGTTTAGGGTTTAGGGTTTAGGGCTCAGGGAAAAGCAGGTGATTCTTGCTCGTCAAGGCCCACGCCACATTGCAGCTAAGGGGCAACAACAACAGGGTCGACCCCAACACCAACCTCAAAGCATGCGCTCAGCTCCCGGCAGCAAAACGCGTGCGGCATGGAGGGCTCTAGCCGTGTCTAGTTAAAGACGTGGTTGAGAGTGCGGAGCACGGCGTGCGTCATGTCTACATAGAACTTTAATCACCTGATAATACCACGGTATCATCATACAATCATAGAATGATATCGAATACTATAAGAATATAAGAATATGAGAATAGAATGACATTTTAAAGAAACATAATAAAATAAACTCTGCCAGGTAAAAAAACACAATTCCGCACGAGATGAGGCTTCGGCAGGAACACGGATCTCGAAGTGATGGCGCACATCCCCGAGCTTTGGCAGACCTACACTCTCAAGCCGCATGGGGAAAAGAGACATGCTCAGTACACATTGTCGAAACACCTGGCCAACGGCATGTTTCCTGCCTGTGTTGTTCACAAGGATGTCAGCAATGAGAGCCATGATGGTCAAACTTGAGATGATATCGCCTTGGCTCCCCGTTAGCTGGCCACAAGTCCTGGAACTGGCGCTTTGCTGACGCGCATTGCTGTGCAGCAAGGCTGAACTCCACCATGCCTTGCCAGCAGCAAACCACCCTAAACCCTAAACCCGAAACCCGAAACCCTAAACCCTAAACCCTAAACCCTAGCAGTCACTGCCAAGTCTCGGGGGGTTGCTGAGGTCGCAGGTTGGCGCAGGCTGCACCGACCAGAGCTTGATGCAAGCGGCTGCATCTCCAAATTGACAAAGGCGAGTTGTTTAGGGTTTAGGGTTTAGGGTTTAGGGTTTAGGGTTTAGGGTTTAGGGTTTAGGGTTTAGGGTTTAGGGTTTAGGGTTTAGGGTTTAGGGTTTAGCGTTTAGGGTTGAGGGTTTGGCTTACACAACCTGGGCTGCCGACAGAATGAAGACGCCCTGACACGTGTGGCATGCGGGAAAGTGCTGACATCGTCTGAGGCTGGCGCTGCCATTCGGCAAGCACCTTCGTAACATCTCCACATTCCGTTTGTCGACTCAGCTCATGCATCCAAGAACCCGAATTTGAGCCACGAACCGTGGTCTGGAGGCCTTTGGCAAAGCCACTCTCCCACCTCAGCAATGAAGACATGACAGTCCGAAGAATGCGGATTCAGGCTCTGAAAGTGCCACTTATATAAAATTCAAGAAACACCCCCCCCCCCCCATGCAATCTTGCATCTCTGCAACCTTCAAGGCTCGCACTGCCGAAGAATGAGCTCCAGTGAACTGTGGGCTTTCTGTCGCCTCCTCACCTGGATCAGGAAACGACTCGGGAGTGCACATCCTATGCAAGCAGTGACCGACACTCAGTGAGCTCGGGTGCACCTTGTTCCACTCGCCTAGTACCTTCAACGACCAGGCGAAATTTCGGAAAATATTCGAGGCGCTCGCGACGAGCGGTAAGCATCAAGATGTGCCACAGATGCCACATCCTGTCACATCTGCAGGCAGGGCGCAGTGCCCATGAGGCCAGCACTCTTTCCTGCCTCCATCCTCACGTCTACCAGCACAACAGAAACAACAGATACAACGGGACACAACGGTGCCAGTGCCGGTGCAGCCCTGTGCGCAGCCATGTGCGCGGCCATGTGCTCAGGCGATGACTGGCGCAGGACCAACTCGACGGAGCCTCGCGCCTTGCTCCGCCGAAGCGCCTTTGCACAGCTAGTCGCAGCTACCTCTTCTTCTTATTCTTCTTCTTCTTCTTCTTCTTCTTCTTCTTCTTCTTCTTCTTCTTCTTCTTCTTCTTCTTCTTCTTCTTCTTCTTCTTCTTCTTTTTCTTCTTCTTCTTCTTCTTCTTCTTCTTCTTCTTCTTCTTCTTCTTCTTCTTCTTCTTCTTCTTCTTCTTCTTCTTCTTCTTCTTCTTCTTCTTCTTCTTCTTCTTCTTCTTCTTCTTCTTCGTCTTCTTCTTCTTCTTCTTCTTCTTCTTCTTCTTCTTCTTCTTCTTCTTCTTCTTCTTCTTCTTCTTCTTCTTCTTCTTCTTCTTCTTCTTCTTCTTCTTCTTCTTCTTCTTCTTCTTCTTCTTCTTCTTCTTCTTCCCTGCGGGCCGGGCCTCTCTCTCTCTCTCTCTGCAGGCTCAGGATTATCTGTACACAACTGCAAAGAATCAGCGTCAGCCCGGAATGAACTACCATGAACTAATGTCGGATCTGTCTTGCTCATGCCCTGCACCGACCACGGGGCCTGCCGCCAGGAGGTGACAATCTCAGCAACGTCGGAATGCTTTCATGCCGTGGCTGCAGTCACCTCACCCTGGCGTGGCTTCTGATCTGAGAGCACAGCTTGGCGCATGGCCCCAGTTCGTGCAAGCAGAAATCGTGCCACTTGGCGCCTCAGCCACACGGCATCACATGGTGGCCAAAGCTGCTCAGAAAAGGAATACGTGCGAAATAACAGAGCAAAGCACGCACATGCACGCACCACCAACTCTGCATGACAGATCTTGGCGGCACAGTTTTCCATCAAATCTTTCGGGAAATGCCAAGTCTGCACGTGCTGTCACACGGCATTGCATACAGATGCAGAATGTACATTTTGCGCGCTGTAAAGCCTGACTGCGTATCATCAAGGCCTGATGCGAGCGAGGTCTCAGCTATTGCCGGCAAAACCGTGATCTAAGTGGACAGAGCTGACAAAGCACCATGTCAGGGGCTGCCCTCATCTTTGCTGCAGGTAGTCAATCACCTCCTTCACCGAGGACAGCTTGTCTGCAACTGCGTCAGGCATGACGTGGTTGAACTCCTCCTCCACCTCCAAGAGGACTTCTACCTTGTCCACATCATCGAACTTCAAGTCATCCCAGCTGGTCGTTGAGGAGATGTCCTTGTCAAGCGCTTTCAGGATCGTGTCCTTGGTGGCCTTGTCGACATCATTATCCCGGGACAAGTCGTCCTTGCGAGCCTCGATGTATTTCTTCACGGCACCGATCACGCGCTCCTCCATCGACGGCTCCGAGGAGAAGCCACGCAGGTGAAGGACTTGTGGCAGCGGCCGTGCCAGCATCCGCATGCTGCCGAGAGCAGAGGGAGCCGCGGCCCTCCTCTGAAAGGTGCTTTTTGATAGCCATTTCTGAATAGGTTCCCTCCTTATCCTCCTTAAAAGGGGAAAGAAGGGAAGCTTAAAAGTATCCCTAGAAACACTGCCGAGTCCTGCACACCACTGCCATGGTGGAACTTCTTCCGACGGCTGCCAGCCGGAGCATTGCGGAAGCCATTGCAACTACCGAAGCCGAAGCAGAGTCACCCACGCTTGGCAAACTATTCAACGCTCGAGCCCTGAAGAAGCACCGCCAGGACTCATGATCACTCTGAGTCCAGATTGACTCTTGCATAGTTGGTCTTCGTACTGCCGTGCGAGAAGCCCAGTTTCTGTCTCACGCGCTCACTCAGAAGCAATGACTCAGAAGCAATGAAAATGTCCAGGATTCTGACTCCATGGAAGCAGCTGCACGTGACCGTCCTCCAACGCCATGCTTCCCACGTCAGACGCTCGGAAGCAGGCGGGCACTTGGCGGTTCATGGTACTTAGCAACCCAATTATAACTGCGATTATAACCCAATAATAACCCTATTAGGGTACTTAAGGGGCTTATATGTGGGTTATTAACTACACGTATCATGGGTTCCTAAGTACCCTGAACCATGATCTGCACCTCTCCGCTTTGCAGCGAGGCGCGCCCAGGCTGAGATGGCGCAAGCCTCGTCTAGCTATGGCCACGCAGGCACGTGTGGACATGTGTAGACCATACTTGGAGGTTCCAGGGTACTTCTAGGTAGGGTTAGAAGTACCCTTAAATAATTACCATACTTACCCTACTTATAACCGTAGTCATAAGTACCCATGGAACCCTAAACCCTAAACCCTAAACCCTAAACCCTAAACCCTAAACCCTAAACCCTAAACCCTAAACCCTAAACCCTAAACCCTAAACCCTAAACCCTAAACCCTAAACCCTAAACCCTAAACCTATGCCAAAACAGGTGCGACCGTGCCGATGGCATGACTTAGGCTGCTGGCCGCTATGCCCTGGGGGCCAGGACGGCGCCATGTTTGGAGCCTCGCCGGTTTAGGGTTCAGGGTTTAGGGTTTAGGGCTTAGGGTTTAGGGTTTAGGGTTTAGGGTTTAAGGTTTAGGGTTTAGGGTTTAGGGTTTAGGGTTTAGGGTCTAGGGTTTAGGGTTTAGAGTTTAGGGTTTAGGGTTTAGGGTTCAGGGTTTAGGGTTTAGGGAGTCCAGCGCTTGCTGGAACCAGCTGCGGTTCTGAACACGTCTGATTGGGCTGTTCCCCCTGTATACGAACCGTCCTTAACAAGGATGATGATACAGTAGGGGGTACTATAATCCCCTGTTAAGGACTGTTAGTATAAGGGGGAGCATCCCAAAGGTCTGACACGTTCTGACGCCACGACATCATCAGCACAGCTTGGTGAGATCGCTCGCGGCGAGCCTGCAGATTGGATGAAACTCTCAGCAGCATAGTTTAGGGTTTAGGGTTTAGGGTTTAGGGTTTAGGGTTTAGGGTTTAGGGTTTAGGGTTTAGGGTTTAGGGTTTAGGGTTTAGGGTTTAGGGTTTAGGGTTTAGAATTTGTTTACTTCTACTCAACATCACGCATGGGCGTCAACTATTCGGTGTTTTGTCTACCCTTGCTTGCCTTTCCAACTCGAGCGGCCGTGATATGGCAAGCTACAGAGCTCTGTCGCGCGATGGCCTCTGCTTTGTGCAGCTGCCGAACACGATGCCACCTTGACCAGAGAGGGATGGAGGAATACAGAAGTTCTCGAAGAACAATGCCAAGGACAGAACCAGCTCTGTGCACAAGCAGTGTTGGGGCGCATGCTCTGACAGCGTCTCCGTTAGCAAGCCGCGCTCGTTGCCGCGCTCCCACCTGTGACGACTGCGTCAGAGGACAAATCGCAAACACCGCGCAAAGCACAAAAAATGGTGAGGTTCTGGTGAGTGCAATTCAAGCTTTTCTCCAGGGCTCGAAAGGCACTGCTGAGACCCCAGCTTTTGCAGGGCCAGGCGCACGGCTTCGCGGCCATGCCTCGTCGAGTCGTGTGCGGCTCGCGCATCTTGCGCCCACATGCGCCCAACTTGCATTGCATGAGGCATGAGGTGTTCAACGGGTGTTCAAGTACCACTCACTACTCCTAGGTCCTGGGTACCAGGGGCAGCTTGCGGCGAGGGTATTGGGCTCGGACTCTTTGGCACGCTGCCGCTTCTCCACCTGGCTTGATGCACCCACAGCGTCCCGTCTGCGACCATGCACTCGAATCAAGGCAACCACATGCACCCCGTTGAGCCCTGCTGCCTGAACCTGTTGTTTCCATAACGCGTGGAAGCTGCCAAGCAGTCCGACCTCCAGAGAAGCAAAGAAGTCAGCAAACCCGTACTGCCGTACTTCGGCGCTGGTCTGCAACCAAGCTGCTCCCGCTTGCGCCTCCATGCTGACAAGGTACCGGCTCAACAGCTTAGCCTTGACACATACCCACATGCAATGGGTCGTTGGGCACATGGTGATGCCAGCACCATGCTTCCACCTACTGAATCTTAAGAGCGGCACCTTTTGCCGACGCCCCGCAAAAAGCTTCTGCCACCTCACAGTGTCACAGTCACAGGCTGGCACTGATGGCGCCTTCTGTTGTGACGGATCCCGTGCCATCACCCTCCGTCGCGACAAGCACGGAAACCCATACGAAACCGAGGCGATCGCTGATGAAGCACTTCATGGAGCAAGCCGCTGACGTTCCCTCGTTCCCACCTTAACATAACACAGCAGCCAAGGCTGCCAAGGTCTTACGAAGGTCGCCGCGTAGTTGGCGGTGGTTGCAACCGGCATCCACGAGCCGTACCCCTGATCCACTGAGGCGCGGACTTCTGCAGCGCCAAGGTCACAGCCTCGTGGCTATGCCTGGGCTCAAGTCTGGATTTTCTCTGCCCGGATGCACGATAGTGTCTAAATCGCCCGGAAACAGTTCCGAATCCTGCCGAATGCCGAATGGTCCGAATGGTTTCTGCGTCTTGGCAAAATACGTGTCTGAATCGCGCGGAATTCTGACAAAATAGCTTTCGCCTTGTGTGCGCTTGCTCGCGCATCTTGCACCCACATGCGCCCAACTTGCATTGCATGATGCATGAGGTTTTCAACGGGTGTTCAAGTACCACTGGCTACTCCTAGGTCCTGGGTACCAGGGGCAGCTTGCGGCGAGGGTATTGGGCTCGGACTCTTTGGCACGCTGCCGCTTCTCCACCTGGCTTGATGCACCCACAGCGTCCCGTCTGCGACCATGCACTCGAATCAAGGCAACCACATGCGCCCCGTTGAGCCCTGCTGCCTGAACCTGTTGTTTCCACAACGCGTGGAAGCTGCCAAGCAGTCCGACCTCCAGAGAAGCAGGAAAGTCAGCAGACTCGTACTGTCGTACTTTCGCCATATCATCTGACACCTTCGCGAGGCGCGGGTCTGCAACCGAGCTGCTCCCGCTTGCGCCTCCATGCTGACAAGGTACCGGCTCAACAGCTTCGCCTTGGCACATCCCAACATGCAATGGGTCATTGGGCACATGATGATGCCAGCACCATGCTTCCACCTACTGAATCTTAAGAGCGGCACCTTTTGCCGACGCCCCGCAAAAAGCTTCTGCCACCTCACAGTGTCACAGTCACAGGCTGGCACTGATGGCGCCTTCTGTTGTGACGGATCCCGTGCCATCACCCTCCGTCGCGACAAGCACGGAAACCCATACGAAACCGAGGCGATCGCTGATGAAGCACTTCATGGAGCAAGCCGCTGACGTTCCCTCGTTCCCACCTTAACATAACACAGCAGCACAGCAGCCAAGGCTGCCAAGGTCTCACGAAGGTCGCCGCGTAGTTGGCGGTGGCTGCAACCGGCATCCACGAGCCGTACCCCAGATCCACTGAGGTGCGGACTTCTGCAGCGCCAAGGTCACAGCCTCGTGGCTATGCCTGGGCTCAAGTCTGGATTTTCTCTGCCCGGATGCACGATAGTGTCTGAATCGCGCGGAAAAGTTCGGAATCCTGCCGTATGCCGAATGGTCCGAATGGTTTCTGCGTCTTGGCAAAATACATGTCTGAATCGCACGGAATAAACAGTTTATGAATCGGGGTAAGATAGTTTCTGAATCCTGACAAAATAGCTGTCGAGTCTGGCGGAATAGTTTCTGATCCCTGGTAACTAGTTTCTGAACCGAAATTCGTTCTGTATCACCTCCTGAATCCGTCCAAGCAGTTTCTGAATTCCCGCAGGTAGTTTCTGAACTGTAGGTTGCAAATCCGTCCAAACAATTTCTGAATCGCGGGTAGTTTCTCAACCTGCTCTTTTTCACTGAAAACCATGGAAGGATTGCGGGTCCAGATCGCGATCCTCTTAACTTAGCACATTACATTGACAGCACATTGCATTGCAGTCGTTGGCTTGTTGCCCGGGCGCCTTGGAAAGCTGCAGAAATAATGCACTCGGCGTGACTCTACAGTCTTCGTCTCTTGGTGCCAGGCTCCTTTGCACGCTTCCGGCTTTCAGCCTGCAATTCCAAAGTGGCTCCGGCTTGTCTGAGACATTTTCTGTCCAACGATGTCGTGGCTCACACAGCCTGCGACACTTGCCGCCAGCATGCCAAGATCGTGCCCGACAGGGCTCCCTCAGGGATTGGCAAAGCAAGCACAATTCTGCCACAACTGCCATAGTTGTCATCATTGCTTCGTGAACCATTCGCCGTCTGCTCTACACTACTGCAGCTGGAGGCAGCATTAAGCGGGGAGCCTGAGCATGGCCTTCCAGGGCCAGTAGGGAACGACCCAGAAGCTTGGCCTGTGCTGGTGGTGCCCGGTACACAACCAATTCCTTCTTCTGACTTCGGTAATATGTGCAGTGAATCCTCTTGCATGAGTGGAAGGCCCTCTGGCGGCGATCACTGCACAGGTGGTGCCACCTGGCATGTCTGCAATCTACAATTCGCAAACGTCCTTCTCGACCAGAACTTCATGAGTCATCATGAGTCACACTGAGGCTGATTCTGTCCCACCACTTCGTGCAGAAGACCTTGCACGTTGCCACGCTCCCACCTCAGAACAAATGCCATCATCCATGTCTGCAGGCAAAGGCTGATCCATCGTCGTAGGGACCCTAAACCCTAAACCCTAAACCCTAAACCCTAAACCCTAAACCCTAAACCCTAAACCCTAAACCCTAAACTCTAGAGCTGAGTGGTCCGGGCTTCTGCAAAGCCAGCTGGATAGACTCTCGTCCGCGCCTCAGTGGCCAACAGGGCCAGACCAGGGAGCCCATGGGTACATGTACGTAGGCCGCCCACTCCTTCGTGCGTTGGCGAACGGTTGCCTGGGATGAAGACCCCTAAACCCTAAACCCTAAACCCTAAACCCTGAACCCTGAACCCTAAACCCTAAACCCCAAACCCAGCTCATCGCAAGGCTCATGTGGATGGAAGGCATGGGCCTCCACCAGCTGTCTCCACGCAGAAAGGCTGGTGCTGAGGAGTCCCCCCTCAGCAAGGATTCTTGCAGGCTGCCCTTCCGGCACTCCGGTGCTTCTAGCACAAGCTGCCCAGAGACTCCAAAACCCCTTAACTAAGGAACATACCTTAAATCATATTAGGGTTCCTACTATAATTTAAGGTACATTCCTTAACTAAGGGGTTTTGGAGTCTCTGGGTGCCCCCCCAAGTCCGGGACTTCTGTCCGCTGTCTCCACGACACCATGCAGCTCTGGATCAAGCCTGCCTCTCAAGGCTGTAGTAGTGGCTCTTGTCCCCGAGGCTTCTTTTAGGGGCAAAAATCGGCAAGATGCTGAGTTTTCATGGTCCCTTTCTGATATCTGTGTCAACAGCCCCAGAAGCTGTTGTGCTTCAGAAGGTCAGGTACTACACAGCTTGCAGTGGAAAATTGCAGTCTCTTGCAGTTCTATATATGTATCCTCTAGTCTGCATGTTGCCTTAGGCAGACATCAGCTGGAAATGAACACTACTCCGGCGCTCGCGACACTTGCGCAAGCGTCAGTCAGAGCCGTCTGACCCCTCAGCATCTCTCAGTGCTGCTTCTCCATGAGCTGCAAAGCCTGCCGGAGGCCGAGGACTTTGACGTCATTCCGGAGGAACTCCAGAACGCCGCTGTGGGAACCGTGGCGATCTGCTTCTTCCGCAAACTGCAAGGCTGTGCGGCCCTTCGATGTCTTCTGGTTCACATCGGCGTTGTTTGCGATAAGCACGCGGATGAGCTCCTGATCGCCCTCTTGCGCGGCAATGTGTATCGGATACACCATCTCGTTGTCGACAAACAGGCAGCAGCCAGGGGTGCGGGGCTCGCTAACATCCTGCGTGAACTGGTGCTGCTGCAAGAAGCTTTCGAGCTTCTCCTGACGCATGAGCTGCCGCCGGTGGCGCCGCGTGGATTTGCCTTCCCGGCTATCACTCCTCTCCTCGTTCTGGGGTTCGGTGGTGGAGTCGCTGGAGCTGGAGGATAATGACAAGGTGTCAGACGATGGAGATCTCCTGGTGTCGACCATCCCGCCCGGCAACATAGCTGCCCTCAAGTCACTTCACGATGGCCCAAAAATGCATGTGGGACCGCTCGTGGTGGAATCTGAGCCAGACTCCTGCAAAAGGACCTTACCTTCTCTGCGGCATGCAAGGCATGAGCTCCTGCAGCCTGGGCCCTCTGAGGGTTGCATCAGATGCGTAACACATGCGCGTGCTTCTCCCGCAAGCAAGGTTGCAGTGCAGTGCTCAGTTCTGCGCTCGGTGTCTGCGGGTGGCGCTCAGCTTCTGCCACCTCAACGCGAGGGCAAGGGGGAGCAGGGCACTTGCCCGACACGAAAGAAGGGCACAATGCAACAACTTGACAAACCAAGCACATGGGGGTTTCCGAAAACAGGGGCACACTTTTTGGGTCCCTTTAAGGGGATTCTGCTCCAATTTAGGGGTGTAGACGGGGTACCCCTATTTTGGGACATACGGAAGGGCCCGCAAGTCCGACAGTCCCGGGGTTCTGAGGAAAAGGCAGCGTCATGATCTCATGCAGGAGGCCCGAAACATTACCTCGCTCCCACCTCACGTGTCCACCGGCAAAAGGCACCAACCACGCCATTAAAAGCAGCAAACGGTAAGCAAGTTGGAGATCCGAGGCTGGTGCTTTTGGACTGCCAAGTGGACCGCCTCGCGGCCACGCCTCGGTTCTTGAGGTAAGCCCCCCTGGTTCTTAGGGACCTATATACCCTGTAAGGGATTCTATAGTTCCTTACCTAATTCCCGCGATTATATAGTTCCTTACATAATTCCCTTATTCCGTACTCAGAACCAGCCAGTAAAATACATTAAAATACATTAAAATACATTAAAATACATTAAAATACATTAAAATACATTAAAATACATTAAAATACATTAAAAATACATTAAAATACAGTAAAATACATTAAAATACATTAAAATACCAGAGACGCTTCGGAGAGGCTGGGTGCGCAGCTGCTTGGCGCGCAGCTTGGCTGCAGCCTGGGCCGCCAGTATGAGAAGTCAGGGAGAAGCTGCAGCTGGGCCCTAAACCCTAAACCCTAAACCCTAAACCCTAAACCCCGAACCCTAAACCCTAGACCTAAACAAAGCCGCCGGGAATCGCCCACGAGCGCCGGACATGTGCAAGTTCCCGCCATGAGGCGAAGCACGTCTGGCGAATGGCAACCTGGCGGAAGAACTGAACCTACAGGATTTCTACGACCATGGCACACCTCTACACAGAGACCTGACATGGTAAAAGTGAGAGCATCCAAGGCCCTCATCCGAGCAACCTGGCCTGCGACTGTCCTTCCCAGGACATCAGGTAGCGACTTGCAAGGGCCGCCTTGGGGACAAGACTCGGTTCTCCCAGCTTGAGCACCCCAGAATCCAGCCGCCGTTCGTAGATCGGACGCAGAACATATAAGAACATTCAGAGAAACATAGCTGAGGATGTTGAGGAGAGCACTTGTCGGCGATGCGTCACGCCCAGCCCAAACCACCTCAAAGCATGCGGCCAGTGCACGCTCAGAAGGCATCCAGTGGGTGAGTATGCGTTAGGGCCGATGTCGCAAACTTTGCCTTGGACTCGGGTCCAGACTCTTGCAGCACCTCGTGCAAGAGTCCACGGGTATTTCCGCGCTCCCACCTGCAGTGCTCACGCGAATGCTTTCCGTATCTTTCAGTACGCGCAGTAGGGCATATGCGATCACCCGAGGCTCTAGATTCGTATCATCTCTGCCTAAACCCTAAACCCTAAACCCTTTTTTTTATCGCGGACCTCTGAAGCCAACCCTAAACCCTAGACCCTAGACCCTAAACCCTAAACCCTAAACCCTAAACCCTAAACCCTAAACCCGGAACCCGAAACCCTAAACCCTAAACCCTTTTTTGTACCCTAAACCCTAAACCGTTCGGAAGGATCGAAAGGCGAAGAAAGTGCCAACACTGCATGGGGGGGCGCACTTCTGCAGCGCCAGCTTGACCGCCTCATGCCCGTGCCTCACAATGTGCGGGCAACGCCACGGCGCTTTTTTCTGGAGGATTGGTTAGGGTTTAGGGTTTAGGGTTTAGGGTTTCGGGTTTCGGGTTTAGGGTTTAGGGTTTAGGGACCCTAAACCCTGCCCACCCCGGCCCAACCCGCAGCTGATCCCCAAGCTGCTTTGGAATCTTGGCGCCCCGCTGCTTGCTGCGCTGCCGTGCCAGTGCCTAGGCCAGAGACACACGGGACGCTTGCAAAATGGGCATTTCCCAGAATGGGATACCCGCTTTCTACCCCGACTAATCAGAATCGAAGCTCCCTAATGGGACCCCAGAAAGGGTAACCCGATTTCCCTCCCAAATGGTCGAAACTGTCACCGCCTTCCCAAAGCTAAGCTGTGGGGCATCATCAACGCAGGGCACTGTGGCAGCACTGTAGCACGGTAGGTGCCCCAACATCTGCCAGCTTCTTCCAGGAAGTTAGGCAAGTCTGGGCCAGACCGACCTAGCAGCTCGCCAGATTTTCTATGTCACACCCCGTACTCCTGGTGTCATCTGCATCCAGCCTGCGTCTCCATTTCCCAGGATGTCAGGTATCTCTTCACCAGAAGATCCTTGCAGAGGCATGCAGCGCCGAGTGTTCAGCACGCACAGAAAGGCACGCGTCGAGGCTTAGCGGGTGGCGCGCTGGGCTTTGTTGACGCATAGATGGTGCCACCTAAGCTGGACGCTGTCTCAGACAGCTTTCCAGCACATCCACCAGCTGCATGCACGCCACTGATCAAGAGTCTCGTGTAGGAGCCCCTGGACTTTCCCACGCATCCACCTCAGAGAGGGCACGATGGCCACGGTGTCACAGAGATGCTGGGATGGAGCACCAGAGGCAGGGACTTCTGAAGCACGAGCTGAACGGCCTCCCGGCTGCGCCTGAGACTTGGGCTCTCGGCTTGGAGCAGATCTAAAGGCTTTCAATTGCTTCAAACTGTGGGCGCAGGACTCCTTCCTGTGGTGCTGCAATTCCGCCTTGGCTTGGAAAACTCGAAAGACTCTGCCTGCCTGCAAACAACCCAAGACATACACGGAGAGCTCCAGGCATTTCCGACCTTCCACCATGCCAGGAAGCAGGTGTGCAGAAGGCCCACCTCTGCTGTGTGAGACATGGTGCGTGCGGGCGGGCGGGCGTGCGGGCGTGCGGGTGTGCGTGCGTGCGTGCATGCGTGTGACACATCGTGCGTGACCGTTTCCGTGCTGTGCCACGTGAGGCACCCAGCTGCCACACGGCTGCCACCCACTTCCACCTGTTGCTGCCATTCTACTGGGCCGCGTGCGAGCGACTTCTCCTCCATTCCTGTCAAGCACTTGGCGATGAGCTGGGCCTCAAAGCATCTCGAGTCATTTCGGGACACTCGCAGTCCGAAGCCCAACGTTGAGCGAGCCTGGTGCTTGCGTGAAGCACAGCTCTTGTGCCACCTCAGCTGGGAGGGCCAGCGCTCAGAGAGCACAGCAACTTAGCAGGAGCAGAGTCGCAGAGAGCACAGTGCCGGTGCGCTCCTGTTCACTCTCGTGTCTCACTTGCAGCGTCAATTCAGTAGCAACTGGCCCTCTTCGCGTCACGCTGATATCGCACCCCTGCGGCACGTCCATGTTCTCTGTTGTCCAGAAAGCAGTCCCTGGCTGCCCTCCGAAGCAGGATGCGATTCGACATGATTCGACTGTCTCGTTTAGGCCAATTTAGGCATGCTTGTTATTTACTCTTGGCTGGACATAGCGTGAATGCCTGATCGTTCCTTGATCTTGCAGCAAACCATGTAGCGGTCCCACCCGAGAAGCTCATGTATGTCAACATCACACAGTGTCGCGTTGCTGTCAGTGAGCCCGGGATACGTGCCCGGATTCAAAGGGCCAGTTGAGCAACTTTGGAAGTCGACTCGACCGTGACGCCATTGGGTGGTAAGTGGGGGTGGATCACAGGTCTGGCTTTGCAAACTGAGCCCCTTGCAGGTCCAGTATCTCGTGCAGCAGCCCCTTCTCGTTGCCGAGTGCCCACCTCGAATGGGACATGTGTATGCTAGTGGCAACAAGCATGCGCGAGACACCATCGCAGGCTGAGTCGGCTGAGCTGGCCCGCTTCTCCATGGCAAGGTGCACGGCTTCGCGGCTGCGCCTCGGAAGAGACTGCCGAAATGCCAAAAACACTCCTGAACCACTTTGAAACAGCGTGTTTCCCGCTTCTTTGATGTGAGGCCCGGGCTCTCGGAAGCGTTGCCGCGCAGCTCCCTGCAGGCTCAGAGGCCAGAGATGCCGAGAGCAAGTCTGGCACAGGGTCTGCCGCGACGTCTGAGACCCCCCACGTCGGCAAGCTTCCGCCAAGCTGCCGCACAAGTTTGCAACAAGCCGACCTTGGCCCGACGAAGCACAGAATTCTACGTGTGCAAGGCTCAGAGGCTCAGAATGAGCGCCCCGCTTCTGCTTCCACCTCCCAGGAGACGAGGTAGTTGCTGAGAAGAGCGGCCTCACACGCCGTTGCAGGAAGCGGCGAGTCTGACGCACGTTGATGGACACGCGCAGCCTGCCGCGATCTTGGCACAAACAGCTTGTACCACCTGTGACATTCAGAGGCCGGCAGCACCAGTCAGTCTCGACTTGAGAAGACGGAAAGCCGGGCGCAGGGCTGGTCTAGGACTTCATGCAACAGTCCTTGCTTGTTGCCGCGCTCCCACCTCGGCAATCACCATGCCACCTCGCCTTCAACCCGCTGTAGTGTCACATGACATCACTGAGTCCCGCACTTTTGGAGTGCCAAGGTCACGGCTTCTGTCTGTTGCCTCGTTGTCAAGCGCACTTTTCAGGCATGGCAGCCAATCTACGGAGTTGTGGTGGGTCTGAGCCCGTTGGAGGCATCAATGCATCTGGGGCGGAGGCTGTTTACCGTGCTCGCGCTTCGCTGCCTTGGCGCGCTTTTAGAGCCAGGGCGGCTCGGCCATGAAAGCCAGGGGACAATCACGTACCCCTCCGTCACACACACACACACACACACACACACACACAGACACACACACACACACACACACACACACACACACACACACACACACACACACACACACACACACACACACACACACACACACACACACACACACTCGTGGCACTCTCCCCGCTTCCGCGTACATCGCAGCTCCGACATTCATCACCTTCAACTGAGCGTCGCACTAAGACCATCTTCAGCCAGGCTGCGAAGCACGTGTGGACAAGGCCAACCTGCAGACTCCAAGCACCGAAGGTTCGTGCGCTCTCCAAGAGGACAGAAGAGGGCCATCCTAAACCCTAAACCCTAAACCCTAAACCCTAAACCCTAAACCCTAAACCCTAAGTCATCCTTTGCCTCTGCTTGCTGCTCCCATGCCACCAGGCTCTGGCTGACAAGCAAGGCCTGCCAGCAGGGGGACCTACTTGGAGGCTCACGGCACTTTGAGGGTTTAGGGTTTAGGGTTTACGGTTTAGGGTTTAGGGTTTAGGAGTTTCGTGGCATTTAGGAACCCAATTATCACTGCACTTAAAAGCCAATTACAACCCCTACTAGGGTATTTAAGGGAGCTTGTATGCGGGTTACAACATCTAACTACACTTATACTGGGCTACTAAGAACCCTGAACCTCCAAGTGCTCACCATCCCGCCCCCCGTGCAGAAAAGCCTGTCTGCGACGGCCGCACAGCTTGTGCCACCTTGAGCAGTGCAGCGGAAGAGAACGGTTTAGGGTTTAGGGTTTTGGGTTTAGGGTATAGGGTTTAGGGCTTAGGGTTTGGGGCTTAAACGGGAGAAGCAACGCTCCGGCTTTGCGGTCTCCGCAGCTGAGCTCGCAACAGGCGCAAGGCTTCATGAAGCAGACCCCGAGCACTACCTCTTTGCCACCTTGGCCAACAGGGATGAGGATCCAACAGCCTCCAAACTCCAAACTCTCTACAAAGTACATGGCGCTCATGACCTGTCACACAAGCATGCCGGGGTTTCCGAAAAATCAGGGACCCCCCATATGGACCCCAAGTAGTAGGATTCCCTTATAATAAGGACCCCAGTAAGGTACCCCCATGTTCGGAATTCCCCGGCTGGTTCTTCGTAGGGAATCAAGGAATTCGGTACCTACATACGACCTTAAAAGCTATACATGGGGTGCCATAATTCCCTCATTCCCTAAACCCTAAACCCAAACCCCTAAACCCTAAACCCTAAACCCTAAACCCTAAGAACCTGCCAGCAAAAGGAGCGCCAGGCTTTTGGAGCGCCAGCTGCACAGCTTCGGCGCGCGACCTCCGCAGCGGGAATCCGAACATCAAGGGGGTTTAGGGTTTAGGGCTTAGGGCTTAGGGTTTAGGGTTTAGGGTTTAGGGTTTAGGGTTTAGGGCTTAGGGTTGAGGGTTGAGGGTTGAGGGTTGAGGGTTTAGGGTTTAGGGTTTAGGGTTTAGGGTTTAGGGTTTAGGGTTTAGGGTTTAGGGTTTAGGGTTTAGGGTTTAGGGTTTAGGGTTTAGGGGCGCATTGGTTCTAAGGGGGACTACGGATGAGGGACCCTTCTGAGGGACCTTGGGGGTTCTGTGGGTAAGGGCGCATTGCTTTTAAGCGACGACATCAGGGCGGGGCCCCTTATGAGGGCTTTTCGGGGTTCTGTGGGGGGCTATTTAGGGGCTACTTAGGCACAGAGACCCTAAACCCTAAACCCTAAACCCTAAACCCTAAACCCTAAACCCTAAAGATCCTAAACCCTAGAGGGGCTGTGTAAGGTGTATGCGGCTTACATAAACCTCGGCGCTAACTCCGCCCACTCTGTGGCCCTCACCCTCTCGCTCGGATTCTGGCAGCTGCCTCGGCCCAGGCTTTAGGGTTTAGGGTTTAGGGTTTAGGGTTTGGGGTTTGGGGTTTGGGGTTTAGGGTTTCTTGGGGCTCTGGCGTCGGCGACTCTCTTCCATGCTGACAGGTAGCTCGCGACCAGGCCGGCCTCGGAAGAAAGAGTGTCAAACCCTACTTGGAGGTTCATGGTACTTAATGGCCACTGATAGCTGTACTTATGACCCACTGATACGTCCCTTCAGTGCCCCAAAATGGTTATAAGTACAGTTATAAGTACGGCTGTAATTAGCTAATAAGTACCATGAACCTCCAAGTACCATCCAAACTAAAGTGCCAGAGGCACCTGCAGTAGTGCTTGGCTGCTTTTCTCTGCTGAGCTTCTATACTGTATATGGTAAGCAATGCAGCTCACGCTTAATGCCTTAAGCCGCTCCGGAGCGCTTTGCGCACTTATGTGCCCACTTTTGGGACCTCCGCCGCATTTTGGCAGTGGCAGCGGCACATGAAGACGTTTGAGCTGACCCTCTCAGGTGAAGAGCCAGCTGATGCTTCCCACCAAGTTTGTCAGAGGACCCTCTGAATCTGCAGGCTCTTGGACCAGCGTCGAAGCCCCCGACTCCTGGCAAACCGTCAGGTAGCAACCCGTCACCTAAACCTTTTGAACCTGGAAGCTGCTTCATGCCATGACTGAGGGCACCTAAACCCTAAACCCTTTGCCCGAATCAGGCGCTGGACTTGCCTCGACTTGTTGAACGATGTTGGAGAAGCTGACGCGGGCGCGAGGGATCGTGTCAGGAGCTGAAGCTTGTGCATCAAACTCGCTTCCTGAGGCTGCTCTGGGGGCCTGCACCCTTTGAATCTTTCCAAACCCTAAACCCTTTCTTCTCAATCCTAAACCCGAAACCATGGCGTTTAGGGTTTGGACTGGAACAACAGGAAGACCAGGTCATGGGGCTTTGCTCGGAAGGTACGTAGATCAAACTCCCTTGTGCTCCAGCGCAAGCACCTGCGGACCTCACCTCAACCCCAATTTCTGGCTAGAGAGAAGTCGTTGACCCTGCACCCTAAACCCCACAACCCCAAACCCTAAACCCTAAACCCTAAACCCAGGACTGCTGGGCCTAAACCCTAAACCATAAACCCTAAAGGTTCCCAGGACTGCTGAGCCTAAACCCTAAACCCTAAACCCTCAACCCTAAACCCTGAAAAGCTTGGCTGGGAGAGAAGCTGAGGTGAGCCCAAGGCTCCCCAAATGAAGCCACCGACCTGCAGGGCTTCTACTTGGGCGTTTAGGGTTTAGGGTTTAGGGTTTAGGGCTTAGGGCTTAGGGCTTAGGGCTTAGGGCTTAGGGCTTAGGGCTTAGGGCTTAGTAGGGCTTAGGGTTTAGGGTTACCTAATTTATCAATTTGACCTGTACTTTTCACCCACTAATAGGCCCCTTGAGTGCCCCAATATGGTTATAAGTACAGTGATAAGCAGTACCATCAACCTCCAAGTACGCACGTCTCGAGACAAGGATTCACTTGGACTCACATGGGGGCTTCCGAAATTAGGGGTAGCTCAGGGACCTTTTGGGGGTCCTTAGCATAAGGGGATCCTACTATTGTGGGTCTACGTGAGCCCTTCTGATCGTAAACCCCCACATCTGCTACAGGATTGCTGCAGCCTTCTTGGACAAGAAGATCTTGGAGCTGAAAACTGGCAGGTTCTGCCCACCGACACTTCGTTCGAGCCTCTTGCAGACCGCTAGCTGGGTGCTGTCAGTCGACGCAAAAACACTCACTCGGCTTTAGCTCAAAAAGAGAAGGTTCACAGCGGCTCACAGCTCCACGTCTCCAAAAATTTGCGAAGAAGGCATCTGAACTTCATGCCAGGCACCGCTCCGCACGGAAGGTTGTGGCCAGGAGCTGGCGCCACTGCACATTGGAAGTGACAAGAACCACCTTGTCCCGAACCTAAATTGGCCAACCAGGGTTTAGGGTTTGGGGTTTAAGGAATCGGGCTCTGTGCGACGGCCGGGTGTACCAGGAGAAGGCACAACGGTCTGGGGCGCGTGCGCGTTGATCCAAAAACGGCCCAACGAAGCTCCAGAAGCAGCGGATCTTCTGAGGAGGGTGGTAGAAGTAAACATCCCCGAAGACCTCGGGGTAATGATCCTGGCCAGCTGCAAAACTATAACATGGCCGTGACATTCAACGTATTGTTGCGTGTGTGGGTCGCGTGCACCACCTTGGACCGTACAAGTAGGTGAAAGAGGTCACGCCTACACATGATTTACGTCGTTTCTTTCGGGGGCCGCTTTTTGCGTTAAGACCGACTGCCGGACTAAATGCTACAGTAACAACATATTCACACAGTTTTGCCGGGACCTTTAGGGCCCCGTTGCCCATTCCCAATTTTCCTTGCAGGGGGGCACGGCAGACATGGGGGGACTGTGCCTAACAAAGCTACCTCGTGTCTGGAAAAAGCATCAGTCGTCCACTGATGCTCCGTGCACCTGCCCAAATTTTATCCGGCGACGTGTTTTTGGCATACCGTTGCGTGTGGCGTTTTGCGAGCTGCCTTGCGGGCCATCACGCGTGCCGTCAGTTGTGCCTGTCGTGCTTGCCGTCGTGCGTGCTGCCTGTGCCGTGTGTGCCATCACGACGCACGAGCCGCGCGTGCCGTCGTGCGAGCCGTCACGCGTGAAAATGAAAGAGCCCCAGTCAGCCAAAAAGCACGCACACATGGCATGCCTTAATCTTGAATGTGAGGAGAGAACATTAAAAAAAGGTCCGTGAGCAAAGCTGCCGCCCACGGACAAATGCCATGCCGGATGCGGACCCTACTTGGAGGTTCATGGTACTTATTAACCAACGATGGACCTCCAAGTAAGGGCCAGAGTCGAACATAGTCGAACAGTCAGCAGGGTCCCTCAGCTCCAGCCCCACATGTGTCCGAACCCCGGCGCGTTTGCAACAGCCCAGCCGCAGCCACATGTTGTTAATGTCGTTTGGATGCTCCAGCCTAGTTTTTGTCATTGTGGCGTCTCCTTTGCCTGGCTGTGTCGTGAAGGCTTGCTGGCTACAGCCGAGGTGCTTGTTGAATTCGGCTGTCTTGTTTGCTGAATTAGGCCCTGTGCTTTTGTTGCTACTTTGGCCTCGAGGTACTGAATCCCACTACTCTCACCTGATATGACCCGATCAAACCCCAAACCCCAAACCCCAAACCCTCAACCCTCAACCCCAAACCCTAAACCCTAAACCCTAAACCCTAAACCCTAAACCCTAAACCCTAAACCCTAAACCCTAAACCCTAAACCCTAAACCCTAAACCCTAAACCCTAAACCCCTCCCTCCGGGATCCTGGAAGATGTGTAGAGCAGCACGCAGTGTGCAAAGACGAGGCCTGGTCGAGAGGTCCATGGTTCTGCTTCACGCATCTGTCTTTTAATGCACCATATATCATGTACCATGTCTGCACATCCTCTAATATGATATAACATAATATAACATATCGACATATAGGTATATATACACTATGCTGAAATAGCCCTTTTGTTGCTACCCGTGCCTGTTGCTGGACTCATAGCCTCCGCACGCTTCACAAGAGATCATGAAAAACTCGCCCAATCAACTCAGCCCATGTGGGTAGTTGTCAAAATGATGGTCCCTTTTCGGATCCGCAGCACCTAAGATTCAGGGCACCCCAAAAGGGGATCATCGTTTTGGCAACTCAGCCCATGTGACAGACTTGGGTGCGAGCCGGTGAAGTCCACGAGCATGGTGGCGCAGTCGTTGTCGGCCCCGTCTTCGGGCTGCTCCGAGACCTTCTGTAGCAAGGCCAGGAGCCTCTCCAGGACATAGATCACCTGAGCTGAGGATTTAGGGTTTAGGGTTTAGGGTTTAGGGTTTAGGGTTTAGGGTTTAGGGTTTAGGGTTTAGGGTTTAGGGTTTAGGGTTTAGGGTTTAGGGTTTAGGGTTTAGGGTTTAGGGTTTAGGGGACACCAGAAGCCGAGATGGAAAGCAAACCGCAACGGCCGAGCAATGTGGGTCCCGGGCGTAGTTCAAGGTCTCTTGATGCTGGCCACTGTCCTCAGCTTCACAACAATGATGGGAAGCTGCGACCCGGGTTTCACGATGTGTCTTTTGGGATGTTCCCCCTTGTACTAACAATCCTTAAAGGGATTATAACCCGTTGAGGACTGTTAGATACTGTTAGCATGAGCGGGAACATCCTACGAGTAATGTGTTTTGGCTGCTTTGGAATCTAGCGTCCGCGTTGCGAAACTTCACGTAGACAATGGGCCGCTGCCGTCGATCGAAGCCTCAGCATTGGCATCCCTATGGGGAAAAGCCCCACGCAGCACACTTCACCTGCGGCCGCGTTAAAAGAACTTTGATGTTTCGTCCATGCTGAGTGGCCCCGGATGTAGAAGTGGCCCAGCGCGCACTCCCGCACGATGGCCGCTGAACAGCGTCCGTTTCTTGCGTCCGGCAGGTACAAGCAAGACACATTCTCCTGGCTTCATGCCGCGTGACAGTGTGTAGAAGCTATAAGGCATGTGACACGATCCCTAAACCCTAAACCCTAAACCCTAAACCCTAAACCCTAAACCCTCAAACTAAGAGTGCAGGCCCTGCACGAGGGGTATCAAGCATCCTCCCGAGCCTGTACCTGTGGAACAACTTCCTGGCAGCCCTGGCATCCCGTTTGTTAGGGTTTAGGGTTTAAGGTTTAAGGTTTAGGGTTTAGGGTTAGGTTTTAGGGTTGAGGGTTGAGGGTTTAGTTTTGGGTTCAGGGTTCAGGGTTCAGGGTTTAGGGCTTTAGGGCTTTAGGGCTTTAGGGCTTGAGGGCTTTAGGGCTTTAGGGCTTTAGGGCTTTAGGGCTTTAGGGCTTTAGGGCTTTAGGGCTTAGGGTTTAGGGTTTAGGGTTTAGGGTTTAGGGTTTAGGGTTTAGGGTTTAGGGTTTAGGGTTTAGGGGTGTGTTGCCATCTTTCGACCGGTTTTTGGGCGATGGGTGCGCTGGCTTCCTGCCGCCACTGGGCGGTCGCACAGACTGCAGCCTCTGCCTGCAGGACCAGGCATTTAGGGCTCTTTTTAGGGTTTAGGGCTGAGGGTTTAGAGTTTAGGGAGTCGAGGGAGTCTAGGGTTTTTGGGGAGTCTAGGG